TGTGTGTGTGTGTGTGTTGTAAAAAAGTGTGTTTCCCCACCTAGAAGCTGTCTGAGCCACATGCTTGCAAGCTGTGCAGGTTCATATGAACTAAATCTAATTGGATACTGTGGACTTCACAGTATGAAGCAATATTTGATGATTTGAGGATCACATTGTTGGACTCAGTGTATGTCCTTACTAAAAACAGCCTCCAAAGTCAATACCCCCGCCCCTCCTTCTCTTTGCATCCTTTTCTGTTCCAGGATCAGTAATGGGAGTCAGTATCCAGGAGGAGGCGATGGGGTTGCGGGGGCTCCTCCTCAAGTCCTCGCCCCTCCTCCCCGAATGCGGCACAGCTGCCTTTCAGAACCCCGCCGCTCCAGCCCATTCATCCTGGAGAGCCAAAAAAAAACAAAAAACAAAAGTGGCTATTTATTAGAAGACTTGTTTTGTATTGTTCTGTGCCACACAAAAGACGCTTCATTATGTTAGAAGCAAGCCCCCCTTTCGCAGAGAGAAACAATAACTTGGAATTGTCTTTTTTAGAGTGTATAATAAATGTCATTTCTTCTTGTCTCTGCCCCTCAGTGTGTGTTGAGTGGTGGGTTTGGGCACCGGGCATGGATGGCCTTGGCACTCGAGCGGCCAGATTGTAGTGGGAGTAGCGGTCTTACATGAAGCTTTGGAGGGTTTAGGACGGCTTTAGGAGTATGGAGGGAGAAATCTGCCCACTTGGTCTGGAGTAGAGGGAACGAGGGGAACATGCGTAAGTTTGCATATGACAATTCCGTAGGCAGGAAAGGCATTTTTATACAAGTATTTAACCTGTAGATTGCACTAATAGTTAACATATGTGTTGTGCGTAAATATCTATTTTTGTCTAAGCGCGATGCTGGAAAAAATGTAGGCTAAAACGAACTTGGACGCTTTCTCATCTCAGTGATTGCGCTTACTGAAAAAAAAAAGAAAGTGTATTTATTGGCATCCTTTATTTGGGAACGTCTGCGCTCTGCTGTGTTCAGTTCAGTGCAGATAATATGTGTTTCTAGCTGCAGGCTGTCGTTTTATTTTGGGACATGTGAGCTCCACCAGGGTCTGGCTGCACAGAGCGCACAGCTCTGTGGCTCACGGTGCTGCTACCAGTTGCTCTCAGTTTAATTTTCTGAAGTGACATTATCGGCTAGTGATCTGCTCGGGAGTGAGTAGTTGCCATCAGTGTCACCTTTATTCGGCTGGATTACCGAGAAAAAGTCTGCTGCAAGCTGTAAAATATACGAGTGTTTTATAACGGGAGAATTGTTTTACGCGGCTTGGTGGCTGTCAATATTTAGGTTACATGATTCTCTCCGTGTTTTTTACTTTTCAGGAGGAGGAGGCGGGTTGGTGGCGAGGAGGAGCAGGGGTGGGGGCTGGACATTTAGGGTGTGTGCACTGACGAAAACTTATTTTCTTCTTTTCTTGCTTAACCCAGTTTGTGTCCAGGTAATCCGCAGGTGATCACAACTCCCCACCACTTTAAGCCAGTTCCACCCAGTTCCACCCAGTTCCACGCGCGCTGGCTCGTGCGCGCACGCACAGCCACGCACCGTGGAAATTGTCGTTCTGGGTTATCGCAGATTAAAGGGGTGGGGTGGGGGGGTTATTTGTGC